GGGGCGGCGGCGCTGCGCCGGGGAGGCACTTGAGGGGTGAAGACCAACCCATTCATCAAGCGGCTACATGTAACTTGACTTTATCCCATTCTGCCTTACGCCTTTTAAACCTGCCCCGCCCCGCCTCCCTTGCCCCGCGCGTCTCGACAGTCGGACGTAACGTTTCGCACAGAGATTTTCAGCTCCGTTTACTGAATGGTCCCCGCGACCGGCCTCGCGCGACCTACCGCTCCACGTGTGCGGCGGGCAGAGACGGACAGACGGACAGCAGCGCCACGGACAGACGGACGGACTCGACGTGGACAGTGGCCGAGCGGCCGGTCATAACTCACAGTCTGTCAAACGGCGCGGCTGGCAGCATGGGGACGCCGGCCCCGCCCCACCCCGTATCCTACGGGACAGAACGCCTCATCGCGAGCCGACCAGTTATGCAAATGCTGCCATAGAGTGGCGTGGCGTGGCGCGGGGCATCCCGTCTTCGCCCAGGTCAGTGGCGTAGGACCAGGACCACGCGGGGCACTGCTGAACTTCTTTCTTTTAATCGGGCCGTAAAGGCAAAACCAAAAAACGGTTTACATCCAACGTGCCAGGCGGGCACCGCTAGCGGACTCCAGATCACAGCCCGGCGGAGATCTGTCTTCGCGTATATCCTGCAGGGCCTTTTACATTTTCCCTTTGGTTGGTTTGTCTCGAGGGGTGTGGAACTGGACACAATATGTGTACGTCGGGAAAAACAATCAGAAACAATCATGAAACAATCACACACAATCGTAAACAATCACACACAATCACGAAACAATCACACACAATCACGAAACAATCACACACAATCACGAAACAATCACACACAATCACTTCATAATCTGACACAATGTTGCAAAATATATCTCAATATTTATCCAACCATCCGAAACAATCAGAAACCATCACACACAATCTGAAACAATCACACACTATTAACACAATCACACACAATCAGACACAATCACACACAATCACACACAATCACACACAATCATGACACAATTTTTAAAATTATGTCCCAATATGGACCCAACAATCTGAAACAATCAGAGACAATCATCGACACAATCATAAACAATCACACATAATCACACACAATCTGAAACAATGATTGTCTAGACACAATCATGTGTACACTTTTTTGACCTGTTCCACACCCCTCGGTTTGTCTCTAGGCGCGTTCTCTTGCATTTTTTCCCCAGTCGCGGTTGTTTTCATTCCCCCCCCTCCCTCCCCCTTCTCGCTCCCTCCCTGTCGACGGCTCGGCGCTGACCCACCCTACGCTCCTGGTGTGACAGAGAACACAACACGGCGATGCAGCGCAATGATGGATGTGGCGAAGCAGGCCGAGCCCAGCGGAGCCCAGCGCCGCGATAGGAGCTGCGTGTCAGGACGTCAAACAGAGAGGGGGAGAGAGAGAGAGTCTGCTGGACGCAGAGAGGAGGCACCCGCGCCACTCATGTCACCCCGTGCTCGCCATGGTCGCGGTGCTATCGCCGCGTGGTCACCTATTTTTGCGATGCACGCCGGGAGTGATCGTAACGTAAAAGGTACTCTATCGCGTGATGTCCGTCTTCGTGTACTCGTCGTAGTCTTTGGGTACTCGTCAGGGATTGCTGTCCGGCTAGTCGTTCGCTGACGTGCTCGTCCAGGTCGCCCGTTGGAGAACTTCTACGCGGGTACCCGTCGGGGAGAATCGTATTGGGGTGGTTGTGTGGTCGTGTGATGCTCACCTTGTCCGCCTGCCGTAAGCAGTCGATTCTTCTCATCTTGCCCTTCTGGTCCGGGTTGGAGAGCACGCACATGGCTGGCTTCTTGCCCGTGATGGACAGCACGAAGTCCTCGCGGCACTCCTGCGTGATGTCCTTGCGCAGCTTGCCCAGCAGCCGAGAGGCCCACTTCTGCTTCACCTCCGCCTTCTCACTCTGCAAAACAAACAAACAAACGAAAGATAAGAAAATGTTCAAAAAAATGACACACAACACAACTTGCACCACTCTTCGTAAAATACTAACGACAGTGTGGTATAGCGTCGTTTTTTTAACGCTTGGGTTTGCAGTTAGTGGCCTCTAACATGCAGGTCGAGGCGGCCGGCCCAGGACAGGGCAGGACAGGGCGGGACAGGGCGAGGGGAGGACTTCACTCTCTAAATCCCCGAAGGCCTTTCGAGAATGATGCCCTCACGGGATGGGGTGCGAATGGACTCACAAGGATTTGGGAGGAGGAGGGAGGCAGGGTGGAGAGAACGGGAAGAAGGGGAGTGTGCGGTGAGCAGGACGGTAAGGTGTGCCGCTGTTAAGGCCGGAGGCTCCTTTTATTTTTATCGGTCCCTTGTCTCTCCCCAAGGTGGACCGTCGTCGACGACGACGGCGACGTTGTCCGTCCTTTTCCCTCCACGCACCGCCGGGGCTGGGGACAGAGAGTGAGAGAAGGGGAGGAGGGGGGGGAGCTGCCGTAATGTTCGCTCCGCTGTCCTTTGTTCCAGTATTTATTAACTTGTCGCGGGCGGGCGGCAGATGACCCGCCGCACCGCCACCACCGCAGCGCGTGTGATGGGCGAAGTGAGAAGTTATCGCCATCGGTATGCGGTGTCGCGAGGGAGAGAGTAAGGGAGAGAGGGGGAGAGCGAGGGAGAGGGAGAGAGAGAGAGAGCAGAGAGGGAGAGAGAGGGAGAGAGAGGGAGAGAGAGAGAGAG